TGTGTGTGTGTGTGTGTGTGTGTGTGTGTGTGTGTGTGTGTGTGTGTCAGAGCTGAGCCTCTGAGTGATTCTGGATGAATGATGAGCAGCTGATTGGCTGAAGGTTTGGTTTTTGTCTCCAGGGTCAGATCTCTGACGACCTTCTGTGGTTGAAGCTTATCACAGAGGGAGGCTCAGCTCTGACGCTGCGCAGGTGCATTGTGGGTAATGTAGGAGGAGTTTGTGCAGCTCAGCTTTGATCTGTTCAGGTTTTAATCTGTTCATTTGGAGCAGCAGCCTGAAGGAGACACACTAACTGGAGTTTGTGTACCTGGTTACACACTCACCTGGAGCTGGAGTGGGCGGGGCTTTGTGTCTCACACCTGCTGTCGACCTGCAGATAATCAGTTCAGGATGTCCATCCTGGAGCGGTTGGAGCAGATGGAGCGCAGGATGGTAGAAATGGCAGCTCGCAACAACCAACAACAACAACAACAACAACAACATCAACAACAGCAGCAGCACGGCAACCAGCTGGCCACGCCCCCTCCCCTTCCTCCTCTACCTGAGGACCAGGAACAGGTGAGACGGCTGAAACCTTTTTACTTCCTGTCTTTGTCCTCTGAGAGTGTGGACTTTGTTTTTGGTTGTGTTCACCTCCAGCAGACGTGAACTGGCAGGGGTTTGACCTTTGACCTCTTGCAGGAGGTCAGACCTCCTGCTGGGGAGAACCAGACCCTGTTCAGGCAGACCTCGGGGGTCTCTGCTGCAGTTGGACTCTGAGCCGGCCTCAGGAGGACTCATGAATGTGCAGTGTGATCTGCTGAGCCTCTGCCCGGCCCTCTGATGTCATGGGAACTTGGCAGATGGAGTCCTGGAGTTAAAATAGACCGGCAGTGACGGAGACACTTGACCTGAGCTGAACAATTATGCTGCTCCAGACCTGTTGTCTTCAGACGGTCAGGGTGCACACCACGGTCATCCTGAAACTGCAGGTTTACCTGTGACCCACTGAAGTCCATCAGAGCAGAGTCCAGATTGAGCCCAGACCAGAACAGAGTTACTGAAGGTTCAGGGGTTCTTCAGACCAGATCAGAGTTTAAACAACATTTAAAGACAAACTAGAAATCAAAATATGACGCACAGTAAACAACAACAACCTGATTCATGAAGAAGTGACCTGAACGTTTAGAAAGCACCTTGAGGTGTTTAAAGAGCTCCTCCTACATTTAATTATAAAACTACAGACTTGTTTGATTATTGATTACAGATCAGAAAGAATCGGCAGCTTGTCAGTCTGAAGCAGAGGGAGCGATGAGCGCAGCTGTTGACAACCACACATCAAGGTGTAACCGTGGTTACACACCTGGCTGCTGTTTGTTAGTTACCATGGCGATGGGTTCTGCACGTCTGATTGGCTGCTACAGTGAAAATTCAGACCTGACTGGGAGAACCCAGAGGGTCCTCGTCCTCGATGTGTGTACGCCGCAGCTGTCGGGGGTGGGGGGTGGATGAGGGGGCGTGGCCTCAGTGTGTCGGTGCTGCTACCAGGGCTCATGTTAGTGCCGCAGCTGTCGAAGAGCGGGATGGATGAGTGGCAGCTGGGCAGAGGTGTCGAGTGTTCACGTGGCCCGCTGACTTTCTCCACATGTACCCCTGCCCCACGGGGGGGGGGGGGGGGGTACATGTGTAAAAACTGAAAGGAGTTTTGGCCCTGCAGGAGGTCAGAGGTCACCTAAAAATGATGACATCATTGATCTGCTTTCAGAAAACAAAGACTGCAGATATACTTTTAATTTGTGTGTGTGTGTGTGTGTGTGTGTCTGTGTGTGTCTCAGCCCTCTCAGTGGTTTGAGAGGAGGATTGTGGGAGTTTGTGAGAGGATGATGAGAGGAGCAAGATGGGGAGGAGGAAGAGGAGAGAGGCTTCATCACTCAGCCCGACACCGCGGGATGACTCTGCTCCACCTGGCTGCTGCACAAGGATACACACACCTGATCCACACCCTGATCCACTGGAGGTAAACACACACACACACACACCTGATCCACTGGAGGTAAACACACACACACACACACCTGATCCCAGTCACTTCAGCAGAATCGAGAATAGTGAAATGAAGAATTGAGTGATATACGAGAACTGAAATGAGAAAAGTGAAGTAAGTGAAATGATTGCCTGTCAGGTGTGTTGACTCTGTTTTTTGTTTGTTTGTTTGTTTGTTTGTTTGTTTGTGTGCAGGACTGTAAACGGTGACAGTTTGGACCTGGAACAGGAAGTTGATCCTCTGAACGTTGACCACTTCTCCTGCACTCCTCTGGTAAAAACACACCTGACTGCTGCGGAGGCTGCACTGTGTCGTCATGGTTACCATCAGTCTAACAGTGTGTGTGTCTGTGTGCGTCCGTGCCTGCACGTGCGTGCACGCTGCAGATGTGGGCGTGCGCTCTGGGCCACCAGAGGGCAGCAGAGCTCCTGTACAGCTGGAACAGTCTGGCTCTGGGGATTCCCGACTCTCTGGGCCGTCTGCCTCTCGCCGTTGCCCGCTCTCGAGGACACACCCGCCTCGCCACAGCGCTGGAGATGCTGCACATGCAGCGCACACACGCTACGTCCAGGGACACGCCTCCAGCGGACACGCCTCCAACAGACACTCCACAGCCGCCGCTGTCTCCTCTGTCCACCAGCCCTGACACAGGTAACGCACCTGCTGCTGTCACAGGTCCTCAGTCCTGCTCTCTGATTGGCTCTAACCTTCCCTCTCTCCCCCTCCAGGTCTCAGCTCCTCCAGCAGCCTCCCCTCCCCCAGTGACCCCTCCTCTCCCTCTCCAAGCTCCGCCTACTACAGTGGCCCTGCTCCCATGGACACGTCCCCCTCCTCTCCGTCGTCTCTTTCTTCCTCTTCCTCATTGCCTGAGTACCCGCCCTCCCCACCCTCCCTTCCTTTGGTGTCGGTGTGGGGGGAGGAGCCAAACTCAGCTGTAATCACAGGTAATTGTTTATTGATTTCTGATGGAGTCGGCGCTGTCTGAGGATCATCATGGAAGATCTGTGATCTCTGTCGCAGGTTTGAACGCCGGTGGCTCCAGAGACTCCTCCTTCTACCTGATGGACTGCGAGAACACCTCTCCTGCTCACACTTACACACACGTCCATACAGCGGGGGGGCGGAGACAGCACACGGCCACGGTCACGCTGGAGGAGCAGCTGCTGAGATACAGCGAGAACGCTGAGAACGAAGGCGAGGAGGAGTACCTGGAGGAGGAGGTTCTGCAGGTACTGACACTAACAACATGCCTGTTGTCATGGAAATGGGTCACATGTTTCTGTGATGTCACCTGTTAGTGTTCATTCATCTGCTCTGTGAGTGGGCGGAGTTTATCTCCCACATGTGTGTAGGTATTTCTACAGCTTATTTCAGAGATTACAGTTTGTTTAGTTCATAAAGTGGTGAGGACTGGACTACGACTTTTGCACAGAACCATACAACTCATGGTTACCATGGTTACCCTCCCATCCTCAGGTTGACATGGCGACACTGGCAGAGCAAATCATTGAGGCGACCCCAGAGCGAATCAAACAGGAGGACTTCTCCAGAGGGGCGGAGTCTCCGCTCAGGGAGAGGAGGGAAAATCCCTCCCTCCAGGACACCTGGCTGGCTGCTTACCTGGAAACCGTTGACTCCCACACACACTCCCCGCCCAGGTAAGACCTAGTCTAAGACCAGGACCACCTGTGGACCTCAGGGTCACCCAGCAGGCAACACTTCAGGTTTGGACAGGTCCATGTTAGTGTTTTCTGTTGCAGGCGGTTGTGCCCCCCCTCACCCCTCAGTGCTCTGGCTCTTCAGAGGCTCCGCCCCCCTTCATCTGCAGCATGGGCGGAGTTCCTGACCGCATCAGCCAATGGGAAGATGGAGAGGGACTTCGCACTGTTGACGCTGACGGATGGCGAGCAGAGGGAGCTGTACGAGGCCGCGAGGATCATCCAGAATGCCTTCAGGAGGTACAAGGTAATCATGTGACCACACGCTTCGTCCAACCAACTTTTCTGTTCAACCACCCAACCAACAATTTGGTCTTTTGTCCACCAACCATTGGTTTGGTCTTCGGTCCAACCAACGGTTTAGTCTTCTGTCCAACCAACCAACGTTTTGGTCTTCTGTCCATCAAACCCACCAGTCATCCACGGTTCAATTATCTGTTCATCCAACCAACGGTTAAGTCCAAGTTCAGATTCAACCGTTGCAGTTTTGAAGGAGTTATAAAATAATACATCTGTCTAAAAAACTGAAACAAGTATTTTGTTTGGTTTGGAGACAAGATTCAAAGAAAAAAGCCGGGTTTAGGGAGATGGAGGAGGGACAGCATTGGGACAGCAGGACATCAGTGTCCTCATACACGACAACGCTGCCACCTGGTGGTCAACCTGAGGTGTAACTGTGTGTTCAGGGTCGGAGGCTGAAGGAGCAGCAGGACATGGCTGCAGCGGTCATCCAAAGATGCTACAGGAAGTACAAACAGGTGTGTTCATGTGTGCGTGTGCGTGCGTGTGTGTGAGAGCTAACTAACTGAACTAACCTGCTGTTTCTCTCTCTGGGTAGCTAACATGGATAGCTCTCAAGGTAATCCAGCTGACAGTAGATGTAGTGATGTGTAGTCAGTGCTCCCCGTACGTGTGTGTGCGTGTGTGTGTGTGTGCGTGTGTGTGTGCGTGCGTGTGTGTGCGCGTACGTGCGTGTGTTCAGTGTTGAAACATCAACATCAGTTTGTCTCAGTAAACATCAGATTTTCTCGTCTTAAACTCAGACATGAGGATTGAGAGTTCAGGTGAAATGAGAACAGGTCGAAGGTCATCACGAGTGACCCACACTCTTAACAGTGTGACCCCACCCCCACCTTTTTTTTTTTTAGTACGCTCTCTACAAAAAGATGACCCAGGCGGCCATCTTGATCCAGTCCAAGTTCCGGTCGTACTACGAGCAGAAGCGTTTCCAGCAGAGCCGGCGGGCGGCCGTCCTCATCCAGCAGTACTACCGCAGCTACAAGGAGTACGAGAGGCTGAAGCAGGCGCCCAGGGGGGCCGCCTCCCACAACCCCAAGATCAAGTAAGACCTGGGGCTCAGGACACCGTCCAGCCTGAGGTTTTACCTGGTCACACCTCAGTAAAACCAGTCCCAGAGTTCTGGTCCTGACGGTCCGTTTCTTCCATCAGGGGGTCGTTCCTGACCAAGAAGCAGGATCAGGCAGCGAGGAAGATCATGAGGTTCCTCCGGCGCTGCAGACACCGGTGAGAGCACGACGTCGTGACGACGTCCCACTTCTTCTTCTTCTGTGGTTTCACGTGTTCTTCTTCTGCAGGATTAAAGAGCTGAAACAGACGAGGGAGCTGGAGCGAAGGGGACTGACCACATAGTCTTCTTCTGTGCTGGAGGACTGCAGGAACCACTGAAGGACGATGGACAGAGACATGCCTTACCCCCTCCTTCCTGTGTGTCCATCAGTGTCTCCAGGCTGAATGTAGCTGCGTCTGCAGCTGAAGAGCTCTGCTCACGAGCGTCTGACCCTCAGCTCAGTCTTACAGGCACTGCGCTGTCCTGAGCGCCGCCTCACAGGAAGTTTGATCACGCTCGTTTTCGCTCATCATCGTCTTCACGCATTTCAGTGTCAAACAAAAACTTTATTTATAAACAAATGACAACATAACACGGGTGTAACGTTTGCCTTCAGGTTTGTTTACCTGTTTACCTGAAGGTTTAAACCAACCTGAAGGTTTAAACCAACCTGAAGGTAAACTGACCTTTGACCGTGGTCCAGTTACCTGAACAGATTTAAGTCTGTTTACCTTCAGACAACTCATTACACAACTTCTTGTTTCTGTTTGAGGGGCCTTGTCTGACAGGAGGGGTCAAAGGTCAGCTCGTTCTTACCCATAATCCCCTGCGGTTGGTGGAACAAGTCTTAGTTGGGGGTTCGGCTGCGACTCCTGAGCGAAGTTTTTCTGTAAATTAAAGAATAAATTTATTTAAATCCTTTAGGAACTCGTAGATAAATCTATATATTCTGATGTTTTTATTTATTACAGCATGAACTGTCTGAAGTCTTATCCGGCTGCTCTTTGAGCCGTTTCCATGGTAACCAGCATGACTCCTCCTCCTGCAGGTTGTTTTGTTGCCGTGATGATTTGCACGACTTTGTATTTTCTTCTGCTTCTGAAAACGTTTGTTCTCCAAAAATAAACAAGATGTTTAACGGGTGTTGGTTTTAAACTTCCTGCAGTTTGAAAGAACTGAACGGCCTGAGGCGAGATTCATCAGCGGCCATGTTGTGAGGAGCTACATGCCTCTGTATCCTGACTCCTCCCACTTCAGCCTTGGTTAAATGAGACCACCGTCCAGACGCTGGCGCAGAAAAAGGACCGAGTACAGGCTGAAAACTGAACGTAGAAAACTTCTCGTTCACTAACGTTTGCTCCATAAAGAAGCTCGACTCCCGGCAGGTGAAGATTTTAACCGACTACCTGTGCGGACCCGTTCAGGACCCGTTCCATAAATACATGAAGTCACAGAACGAGCCTCGAACAGAAACGGGTCAGTTCCTTGAAGCCGGCTGCCGTCCCATCTCAACACATCTGGTTCATGGGCATCAGACGTCGTCAGATCCTCGTGTTCTTTCTAAGACCTGGACCGGTTCTTGAAACGTGCCTCGGTCCAACAGCACAGAGGACTCTGCGGACAATCAGATGTCTGGGTGGACCGGGCCGTCCTTCTCAGCAGCTGTCTTCAGTCCGTTTGAGCCCAGTTCTCTCACATGCTGGTCGTATAAAACCCTCAGGTTCCTGATGACCCCACCCCTGCATCGCTCTTTGAAGAAGTTCTGCTCTACTGGACCCTCGGTTCTGCTGCGGTCCCTGAAGTGTGTAAACCTGCACTGGACTCTGATCCTTCATGTCTAAATGTTGGACCTTTACGGTGCTTCGTGTCAACTCTGGCTCCGCCCCATACAGCACAAGGTCCACCCACCGCAGGTACCACCACACTCAGCCCGGTTTATGGGACCACCTTGTTCGTGGTCCCAAGCGGGCTGCTCCGAGGGGCCGGTTCTGATGTAAACAGACGGCAGTCGTTGATTGGCCAGCAGAACTACAGCAGAACCTCCACTTCCTGTCGACGGACGGCGCCACAGGAAATGAGCTCAGAGATGATGCAGCGAGGCCACACTGGACTGATGAGCAGCGCCGGGATCAGATCAACTCAATCTGATTACAGGACGATTTTTGGATCAGAACACGAGGAGCGGCTCCAACACGATGACCTGTTATGACCCCGCCCACTTTGCATTGATACCCCGCCCACAGAGCAGCGACGCCCATCACTGTGGAAGATCACCTCCACCTGAGAAGAACCGAGGAGACGAGTCGCGCTCATCGATGGAACCGAAGCTTTAGACATCGGGTTCTGTTGGTGTGACCAGAACCGGAGGCTCAGTCTGGATTCTGAACACAAGTTCTGTTCTGCAGAAACCCACTGAAGCTCCGAGTTCTGGTTCCTGTGGGCTCGATGTGGAACCAGAACCTGAAGAAAAATTCTGAGAAGAAGCTTCAGTCTCTGAACATCTGAGGAGCTTTATTAGAAAAACGTTGATCAGATAATTATTACTAATAAATGATGACGGGCCAGATCACACACACACACTCAGAAACACACACAGAATCACACAGACACACACTCAGAGACAGACACACACACTCATACAGACACACACACTCACACAGACACACACTAACTGACAAAATGTGGAATAAAAAATAATAAAAAAAGATGCGAGTGTTTTAGAAAAAGTCGAGGTCTTCTGGAGCGTCCAGGTCTCTGTACTCGATGATGGAGCGGGGGTCTCCTCGCATGGTCCTGCACACACACACACACACACACACAGGTAGAGCTCGTTAACGTCATCAGCTGATTGGCTCAGAGGAAAGTGAAGACATCTGTTGCAGCAGGGACATGTTTCTACTCAAAGAGGACCCCCACTGATCTACAGGAAGCCCCGCCCATGTGTTATCAGGAAGCCCCGCCCCCTGCAGTGTCACTGACGTGCTCCATGTGAAGCCGAACAGTGGACGGGTGGTCACGTGGTTGCAGGACGTTGGGTTTCAAACTTTTCTTCGTCCACGAGGCGCAGAGCTCCTGGGAAGCCCCGCCCCCTGCAGTGCACGTCACCGCAGGGTTTCTTCCTGCCAGTCTCCACTTGTCCCTGCGTCCACTTGTCCCTGCGTCCACTTGTCCCTGCATCCACCGTTTGGCCACTAATCTAAGATGAAGAGCGCGCCACACGTTCAGCAGACAGACTCCTCCGTGCACGATGTGTGCACGACCTCCAGGAGGTTTTGACTAATTTAGTTTGAAGAGTCGTTCAGCTCAGAGCTCTTTCCCACATTGATGAACACGCCCACAAACTTCTGACCAATCACATGACAGATGAAGCCTGCTGGGAGAATCAAGTTCTGCCCAGACCTGGTGATGAGAACGGGTCCAGGCAGAACCCAGAGGCCGGTTTAATGTCCCAGCTGGGTCAGAGCAGAAGTCTTCACCTCTCATGGAGGAGAAGTCCACCTTCATCAGTTTACCTGCTGTTCCTCTGCTTCCCAGGAAACCCTCCTCCTCCTCCTCCTCCTCTGAAGCTGTCGAAGGTCCCGCGGCCCGCCCCAAACTGTCCAGGTGGGGGGTGAGGTACGACACCTGGAACACAGCAGGTGAGGTCAGAGGTCAGAGCTCACAGGAAGTGGAGTCTTTAAAACGTGACGCTCGTGTAACGAGTCGTTTATAAAAGTTTTGATCAGATTTTACACACAGAAATAATTAACGCACGACATTTAAACTGGTTCAAAGAAAGAAGAAGAAAGTCCATGTGCTGTCACCTCTGCACTGAACCTGCACACCTGAGATCACACCTGAGATCACACCTGAGATCACACCTGAGATCACACCTGAGATCACACCTGAGATACGGCCAGGTGCAGCAGTGGGCAGCTCTGTGAGCACCCGGGAGCAGGTGGGGATTGAGTGTCTTAAGAACAACTCTTCTACGTTGAAAATACATGAAACACTTTAACAACTGTCTAAACATCTAGATTATTGATCATCTGGGTTACTGATCATCTGAATTACTGATCATCTGGATTATTGATCATCTGGGTTACTGATCATCTGAATTACTGATCATCTGGATTATTGATCATCTGGAGTTTCTGTTAAAGATTCAGACAAAGTCCTGCTTTGAAAACAATAGAAATCATCAAAAGACAAACTGCTACCCACCCATTTATGTGAACTCACCTGGGAAGGCGTGCATGGGAGGTCTGACTCCTGGAGGATATCCCAGAAGGCTTTGCTGCTGTGGCAGTGGAGGAGGAAATGATGTCATACCAGGAAGCGTGGCTGAAATTAGACGAGACGTTGGAGGGTCTGTTAGATCTTAGTGAGGACTCCTGGTGACTTCTGAATGTTTGATCAGCAGGATGTTACCTTGTGCTGGAGGGGGGAGGGGCTTGTTTTCAGGTAGAGTGGGTCTCTTGGCATCCAACAGGAAGTTGTTAAAGAACTCCACTTCCTGTCTGACGACGGCGACCTTCTCGCCGTGTTTGTTCAGGATGTGTTTACGCACAAACTCTGGAGCCTGAAGGACAACAAACAAGCCTTGTTACCATGGTAACCAAGAAAGAGTCGACACCAGAGGGGAGGGGCTAAACTCACCTTGAACTTCTTCCCGCTCAGAGGACAGAGCCACTTGTCTTTACTGAGCTCCTGAGTGTTGGTCGACAGGAACTTCTCCACCTGGAAACAGGAAGAGGGAGGAGCTTACAGATGGACAGGAAGGCAAAAGTGGTACCTGTGGAAACAGGAAGAGGGAGGAGCCTAACAGACAGACCTCCTGTTCTGGGTCTTTCTTCCCGAGGCGAACAGCTTCGTCTTCACTCAGTTTCTCTGACGGTGAGAGCAGAGGAGCCAGACGTTCCTCACACATCCTCAGGTGTTCACTCACTGACCAATCAGAGCACAGCAACAGCTTCAGCACCACCTTTACTCACCTCACCTGACTGTGTGTGTGTGTCCTGACCCTCAGTGGGGGTGATCTTGGCCACAGGTAGGGGTCCTCGGACGTGGATGAGCCCGCAGCGGTGAGGCATCTCGTCCTCGGCAGGATACTCACAGAAGTTGTAATAATCTACGGAGTGAACGAGCCGCAGGTACAGCAGCAGCCGGTCCAACACCTGGACACACACGCAACCAGCTCACACACACTCGGCTGAAACCATCACGAGGACAAAAACCCCGGCTCCGCCCACCTTCAGCAGCTTCTCGTCTGTCTCCACGGGAACCTCAGAGGAGGCGGGGTTTTTGGGGTCTCCTGGATCTTCACCACTCCTCCCCGAGGCCCCGATAAGCTCCTCCTCCTCAGCGCTCACCTCTTCGATCAGGTAGTCTGTGATGTTCTTCAGGACCGGGTTGGTCTCCATCTGAGTGCGCGCACACACACGCACGCACACACACACGCACGCACACACGCACGCACACACGCACACACGCACGCACGCACACACACGCACACACACACACACACGCACACACACACACGCACACACACACGCACGCACACACGCACATGCACGCACGCACACACACACGCACGCACGCACGCACACACACACACACACACACACACACACACACACACACAGGTGACGATAAAGGACTCGTGTTTTCTGAGCGTCTTCGTGAAGCCGACAGGTGACTCAGGACTTGGTGTTGGACCGGTCCGTACCTGCCCGGCCCACAGCGCCCCCTTCTGGTCCAGACTGTGGACGAGCCGGGCCGACAGGCGGATGTCGTTCCTCACCACGGGCTTGTGGTGGGTGAGTCCGTTGACGCTGCGGACGCGCCGACACAGGTCTCTGTTGACCACCGGGGACAGCTCGCAGTCTCTGAGCTGAGAGGACAGGGAGACACATTAAGTGGACTCTTCCTGTCCGTCGGTTCTGATCGTGGCGCCGTGTGCTCACCCTGATGTTCTGAAGGCTCCAGCAGGTCTCCTTGATGTTGATGCTGCGGTCGAATGTCACCCAGCACCGCCTGAAGAAGCTGAAACACACAGAACCTGCTCAGGCCCGGTTCAGACACACAGAACCTGCTCAGGCCCGGTTCAGACACACAGAACCTGCTCAGGCCCGGTTCAGACACACAGAACCTGCTCAGGCCCGGTTCAGACAGACACGCAGCTCTACTGATATGAATAACAACACGTACCTCCGCTCAGCCTGAGGGTCCGACAGCGCCACCCGCAGGAAGCCCGGGTACCTGCGACACAACTGAACAGACAGAAGCGGGTCAGGATGAGGGTTCTAAACTACAGCTGGACTCCAGAACCAGAACCTCAGAATGTGGTCTCCACATCAACCGGACCCATTAGTTAAACTTACGTAAATAAATAAGACTAGTTCTGGATTAGAAACCTGATGGTTCTGATTGGTCCACAATCCTACAACAGATCGGGCCTTGCGTGTGTGCTTCTGTACCATGGACCAGAACAAGGTCCAGATGTTCTGTACCATGGACCACAACAAGGTCCAGATGTTCTGTACCAT